CAATAGTAAGGTAAAGAAACCGACATATATCAGATCGATCTGCCTGTTCTATGTAAGATAAGAAACCAACATATCAGATCGATCTGTCCAATGTAAGATAAAGAAACCGACATATTAAGCCGCTCTTATTCTAGAGTATAAGATCGCTAAAAAAGTAATCACAAATTTGACAGGTGAAACTTGTGGACTTTGAAATATACTCAATTTAAATGCACTTTTAATATTTATTATTTCAAAAACTATGAACTCAGTTGAAATTATAAGTAAACGTTTACATATTTTTTTTACATTAAATACAGGCGCTATAGCTCAAATTTATTAACCCAAAATTATGTTCATGTTACGATCAAAATTGTTAGCCAAAAATTTTGTGTGACCATTATATGTTTGGCAAGCCCAAAATTATGTTTACGTTAAAATCACGAATGTAAGTCAAAAATTTTGTGTTACCTATACGTTTGTCAATCAAGCCAAATATTATTTTTATGTTAAGTATGGCCAGGAGATTAGAGGGTGCTCGACTCGCAATTTGCGGGTCGTGGGTTCGAATCCCCGTCACACCAAACATGCTCGCCCTTTCAGCCATGGGGGCGCTATAATGTGACGGTCAATCCCACTATTCGTTGGTAAAAGAGAAGCCCAAGAGTTGGCGGTGGGTGGTGATGACTATCTGCTTTCCTTCTAGTCCTTCACTGCTAAATTAGGGACGGCTAGCGCAGATAGCCCTCGTGTAGCTTTGCGCGAAATTAAAAAAAAACAAACCAAACCTTAGCCTAATCTTATATACGTTTGTGTAAAATAATTGTTATTAATCAAAAATTATCATCACATTCGCTATAACTTTTGTTATATAAAAAATGTAAAATGTATTAATGTTATATACGCTTCTGTTAGCCCAGAATTATATATTTATATTAAACACAAGTTTGTAAAAAACATACATTTGTTTATGTAAAGTATGATCGTTTGTTGGTCCAAGTTTGTTTTTAAGTACACATTCTTTAGCCCTCGTACAATGAGGTAATTTTGTAGTCACTCATAAACTTGAGGTAAAAAAAATGTGCCACATTTAATTTATCCGGTGGAAGAGTTGGGCTCGAGAGTATTGATACTCAAACAATGTGTTTTCCACGTACATTACGCACACCGGTTCATCAAATAAATTTTGTGAATAACCAAGAACTAAAGTCCCACGTGATAATGTCAAGGAAACAAAGTGAATCAAAGTAAATATTTGTGAACTCTTTTGAATTGTTTTCAGTCTTGTAAAAGTGCTTTTAAAGTGCCTCTGGCTCTCCTCGAGCGGTAAATACGTTTCACAATACTTGAAGACTGGTTGTCCAAAGGTTCTTTTTTGTTAATATTGGTTAAGAAGAGATAAGCAGGGTTGGTCATGTGGAGGGGAGAACTTCTAAACAACACATTCCATTGTTTACACAGCTGAGACTTATAGATTCACTTCATTCACAAGACACAGCTGAGACTTATAGATTCACTTCATTCACAAGACACAGCTGAGACTTATAGATTCACTTCATTCACAAGACACAGCTGAGACATATATACACTTCATTCACAAGACACAGCTGAGACACGGCTGAAAGGGCGAGCATGTTCGGTGTGACGGGGATTCCAACCCGCGACCCGCAGATTGCGAGTCGAGCTCCCTAACCACCTGGCCATGCCGGGCCGAACCAAACTCTATAATAAATGTATAATAACAAACAATGAAAAATAATATAACTAGACGTACGTAATATTACAAACAATGCCTTTCACGAAAGTAACATTAGGGTTAGAATAGATCATACGGAACACATAAGCAATGGTTTGTTAGCTTCAAATATTACGATTACATTAAATACATGTGCGTTGGCCTAAAATTATATTTATGGTAAGTACGTAATAATCTGAATTTTTCCGGTTTTTTTTTTTTGTTGTTGTTGTAGATAATCGCACTAGGGATTTTAAAAAAAAAACTGGTTTTTATGTTATTCGTTATAGATATTAGAAATTGCTTACAAAATCACTTTGAATTAAGGCAAAGTTTGAAAATAACTGCTAGAGTTATTTCTGCAGATCAAACTTGAAACACAGTTGCGTAGATTGAATTACTGTTTGTTTTCTCTAAAAATATTGCGAGTTTTATGTTTGTTTGTATTTTCAGTGCTAACAACAATAAAATTGCTTTTTTTCTTTTGCCCTCGGTAATATGCAGTGGCTCAGCGGTAAGTCGGGAGGCTTATAACACACAAGAAACCGGGGTTTCGATACCTGTTGCGGGCACAGAACAGTTAGCCCATTGTGTAGATTTGTGCTTAATAACAAACAAAGGTAATGGAGTAGTGTCATCTGTCGTAAAATACGGAGCCCCCAACACCACCCCACAATTCACGTTTTCTCAAAGTCAAAGGTTCAACATTAACTTCCTGGTAGTTGGGTATGGTTTGTATATTTTAGTACAAAGCTACACAAAAGGCTGTGTTTGTTCTGTCCACCGCAGGGAATCGGACCCCAGATTTGAGCATTGTAAGTCCGTAAATTTACCTCTTATACACCGGAGGGGGAGGGCCACGTCATGGTAACTAGCATGACGGAACAATCAAGTCAGATGTATTTATATTTATTAGATACTTAACACTATCAAATAGCTAGAAGTAATAATTTAATAATATTTGTCTATGTTACCTACCTACACATAAAATCGCCTTCCCCCCCCCCCCCCCCCGCTAAGTACCATATCAATCGCTTTAAAATGCGACTCTAGTAATTAAGGGGTCGAAACCATGTATTATGTGTATGAAAGGGGGGGTAAAACCGCTTCTTTGGGAAAAGTGAAACGGCAGAAACGAATCAAAATACTGAAACCTTCTTCAAACTTATCTTATTAACAATAACACTTGAATTTTCGTGAACAAACACTTTTAACAGTTGATAGTGGCCACTTACTAAGTTTTGTTTAGTTTGAAAGGCATGGAAGAAGAAAAACACACACAAAAAGTCAGGCCTAGTGAGTTCCATTTGAATCTATTGTAACTTCTAAAACATAAAATCGCTTTTTTTCTCCGCTAGGTGTCATGTCAAGACGTCTCCAAAAGTCCCGGGAAACACCTAGATGACCTCACGCACGTGAATATTCCGCAAGTAACCGACGTCACCAACGGCTTCAGTCGCTTCCATAAATTATACCACGAGTGCACGAAACGCCACGTGCAAATTAGACCCTTGAAGAAGAAGAAAAGGAAGAAAAAGCCCAAGAGAAAATGTGGACGATTTAAGGCTACAGGCAGGAGTGATGAAAACTTTGGTAAGTTATCATTCCAAATTTGTAAGCACAACTTATAAATTTTCAACTTAAGATGGAAGGTCCATCGTTCGAAAACGTTTTGATTGTCGGGCTCTTTGTTCTATGTGTGTGTGTATATATATATATATAATCGTAATGGGTTTTCTTCGTACCACGTAAGGCGTGAGTGGCCTTTAAGCTGTGGGTGCGTTATAAAAGTGACAGTATAGTATTATCCTTTGCGTGGATAGGGGGTGATAAAATAAATAACTATTGTAGCTTCTTCGTTGTGTTAGTCTAGTGGTTAGCATCTCGGGCCGAGGATCGAAAGGTCGATGGTTCGAATCGTGATGCCGTTGAACACGTTGCGTAAGTTTCCGTCAACCCCTCCAGTTTGGCTTAAAGATTCGGACAAAGCTTCTGTGGTGGCGTGTGCTGTTGGCTGGCTTTCCTCTAGCGAGTAGTTTAAATAAATCCATAAATCCTAGAGGTCGCCTAGCCCATGTTCAGGTTGAAAATTCTAATTTCTTTGATTTATTTGCTTCAGAAACGCGAGATAAAGAGTCGAGATTGGTAGCTATTTTGCTTTTTAAGGTGTAAGAGGGCAACAACAAAAAAAAGGAAACAGCTTTGGTTATTTTCCAAAAGCATTAATAATGTGTTTAATGGGAAGTGTTAACTAAAAAAAGAAAACATGCCGCCGGATTTGTTTTTCTTCTGAAAAAATACAAGCTAACAATGTGTTGTTAAATGACTGAGGCACGTGCAGTTGCAGATGAAGGAGTGGGTGGGGGAATGGCACCAAGACACCCTCTGACGCCATAAATTACTTGCATTGAAATTGTACAGATTGGAAGATTTTGCATTTTCACAGTGCCATCTAGTAGCTTAAAAGTTTGGAAAGTGGTTTCGGTCCTTGTTGTCGAAATGGTTTGTTTGTTTGTTTTGGATTTTGCGCAAAACAACTGAGGGTTATCTGCGCTAGCTGTTCCTAATTTAAGAGAGATAGACTAGAGAGAAGGCGGCTAGACAACACCACCCACCGCAAACTCTTGGGGTATGCTGTTACCAACAAATAGGGGGATTGACCGTCACTCCTCCACGACTGAAAGGGTCATCATGTTCTGTCGAAATGGCAAAAACTGATGTTTCTTCATGGAAAAGGTAGTTATTCAAGTCTGTAAGTCATAGAAAGCACATACACGTAATGCCATGACTCCTCCAGGGTTTTTATTTATTTTTTTAACCCGATCTATTCATGACATGTTTAGAGGACTGGTTGACATTTTGGTTTACCAGAGCCTGAAATGTTATTTCTGGCCTTTGTTTTAGCCTGACTGTCTTAATATGGCAGTAATGAAATTTCAACCTGGATCAATAACAGGAAACGGACAGTTGGAATCAATAGGATGACCTTGTCGCATCATCCAAATTAAGGTATTGAAAACAAATAAGGTATTCGTGAACAAAACCCAAACCTTATACAGGTAGATAAAGGTAGATCAGCGGTGATACGAACTGCTTTTCAGGAATTAGTGATGATGAAACGTACCCTTTTGATGTGTCTTTGTGAGACTTGTACTATCATGTATTGGGTGAGACTTCACCACTGAGAAATCCCGTTTTTCTTTGGTATCTTGGTGAGTAACTTGTACTATCATGTATTGGGTGAGACTTGTACTATCATGTACTGGGTGAGACTTGTACTATCATGTATTGGGTGAGACTTGTACTATCGTGTATTGGGTGAGACTTGTACTATCGTGTATTGGGTGAGACTTGTACTATCGTGTATTGGGTGAGACTTGTACTATCGTGTATTGGGTGAGACTTGTACAATCATGTATTGGGTGAGACTTGTACTATCATGTATTGGGTGAGACTTCACCATATGTGCACCACTGAGAAATCCCGTTTT